TCTGTGGGACACTCTGGTTCCAGTCTTAGGGTCAGGACTAATTGTGAGTCCCTTAAGTACTTTGCCTTCGTCTTGTGGGTTCTGTGAACTATGTAACAGATCAGGTGTCCTTGAAAGGGGCCTAGAGATGAATCCACAACTACTCAAAGAAGGTCTCCYAGGTCAGCAATGGGAAAACACCCAACTTTTTCCTAAACTACTGTTGGTGGGTGGCTTAACTTTAGGTTCTGTTCCCATTATCCATCAATCTATTATTTATATATAAGTAGTAAGTTCCTTTAAATATTTTGTGAAATGAAGTGTGGGCACAGTATACAATAAAATAAAAGTAGCTTTCATTGTCAGAAAGGAGATGGCACACCAGTTTACAAGGCCTTTAGATTCTATCAGGAGGGTCCCAGTAGAGGGACTGAGTCATCAGGTGACATTGCATGTGATGGGCAAAGCCCTACAAATTATTTTAGGATATATACCACAACAGCTTTCCTAAGGTTACTGCTCGATTTAACTGAGAACTCTTAGAGTGGAAGCGAGCCTGGGAGGGGCTGCCGGGCATGGCACACCTTTCATTGCATGTGCAAACTCCTACTGCCTGGAGTACTGTGTTGAGAAGATTCTAGAGCTGTTTAGAAGAAGACTGTGGTGATCAATGAGTTAAATCCACCCATGGGCATGCAAGGGAAAAGTACTGTGAAGTATTAAACTGCCCATTCCTATGTACAACTAATACGATCCAAAAAAAGTGGTCTTGGAAATGGGTGGGAGGGAAAGTGAGGAGCTAAAGAACACTACCGATAGGGAAGGGAACACAGGGATTACGGTCTGCTCTTGAGCATGAAGCAATGGGCCTTGTATGTCCCTTGCCACATCCTTAAGGTTTAGGAAATCTTTCAGACTTTGAAGGTAAGCTGTCACCAATAGCCAGAATCCTGGTCCTTGTGCAGGGTGGGCCTTGGGCAGTATGTGAGTGAACAAGACTTACCATCTTCCCGCCTGTTGCCCGCATGTGATGCTGCTCAGCCAGCCAGTGCTTGTCCTGGGGGTCAGCTGCATACTGTGAGGGATGAAGTTACAGGAGGAGACATTAGCCTCGTGTGAAGGGCTTTCCTCCTGGCCCCTGAGCAGTTCTTACCACAAGACCTTGTCTAGCATGTACATAAAGAGGCCTCACTAATCTCCAGAGTAAGCCCAGGCAGCCAGGGATTGTGAACTAATCCCAGAGATTTAATAATATACTCYGAATCCTCACACGCTTCCTTTCTCAAAACATACAATAAATTTTTGGGTGAAAAAAATAAAACCAGAGATAACTATGTACAGTATCATCWGAATAAGTAAAATATCAGTAAAGGACAAGGACACAGACATGCACACTATGCCTGCACACACACTCTAGGCACATGCTCACAGAGAAGGATATGTACCACTGTGGTTGCTGGTGACCTCAGGGAGGGAAGACAGAGTCGGGGTGAGGGGCACTTGTGTCTTTTTCCCTATTACCTCCTGTGTATTGCTTGAATCTTTTAATGAGAATAATGAATTTATATCTCTGTGATTACAAAGTTTAAAAGAGGAAATGAAGAATTCAAATAATGTCTTTTGAAGGATGGAAAAAATAGGCCAAAATGTACTAAGCAGTTTACAGAACAAATACAAATAGATTGTAAATGACTAAAAAGATGCTTATGATCACTAACAGAGAACTGTGAAGGAAAACAATWAAAAGTTTCCCTTCATTTATTAGAATGAAAAAATTAAAAAAAAGAGGTAACACCCACTGTAAAGAGAAAGGGGGTTGGGGGCTTWTTACAGAAAATAGGTCTTAGAATTGGGGAACTATGCTAATAAAAATGATTAACACTTGCTGAGTCCCTTTCTATGTGACAGGATTATGCTGGGTGCTTTACTACATTCTCTCTTTTTTTTAAATATTTTTTTTTTTTTAAGAGAGAGAGAGAATTTTTAATATTTATTTTTTTTAGTTCTCGGCGGACACAACATCTTTGTTGGTATGTGGTGCTGAGGATCAAACCCGGGCCGCACGGATGCCAGGTGAGCGCGCTACCTCTTGAGCCACATCCCCAGCCCTACATTCTCTCTTAATTAACCCCAAGAGGTTGGTCTATCATCATTCTCATTTTACATTTTGTATATGACAAAACAGACTCAGAAATGTGGAGCCATTTGCTTAAGGTCACATGGCTGAGCTGGTAAGGGATAGAACCCGGATTGAAATCATACTCTTAACCATGTTGATGGGAATTCACAGCAAGTCCCAGARAATATCCATCTAGGGGAGGACACAAGTAGGGTTCTTGGGGGAGGCAGATGTTAAATAACAGGAAGATAAAGTGGAGGAGAAAGGTCTTCTGGGTAAAGGGAACAGAAGTAAAGACACTAAGGAAAATAAAGAAGTAGCAAGTAGGCTACTTCAGTGTGTTGGAAGCCCTGGGTCAGAATGCTGGGAAACAGCCAGCAGTTCTGCCCTTCAAAGCACTCAAAGAGCTGCACAGGGTGTGGCAGGCAGATCCTATGATTCTGGGACCCCAAAGGGGCTACACAGTTCTGGCAAGGAGCAGCAAGCCTTATGTATAGGYGCAAAAACTGTCTGGAACAAATATRCAGTACTATTTTKTTTTTGGAACCGGGGAATGAACTCAGGGGTACCTAAGCACTGAGCCACATCCCCAGCCCTTTGTTGTATTTTATTTAGAGACAGGGTCTTGCTGAGTTGCTTAGGGCCTCAATAAGTTTTTGAGGCTGACTTTGAACTTGTGATCTTCCTGTCTCAGCCTCCTGAACCGCTGGGATGACARGTGTGTGCCACTGTGCCCGGCTGCAGTACTATATTTTAATCTATGTGGATGTTTTGTAATTGATGAAATACAAATCCATCTAAGAGTGAATTAACTTAAGATCTCCCCTATTATTTTCTCAAACAGTGGAAACCACAGCAAGCTGCTCTCCAGGGAAGAGTCATCTCTTTTGAAGAGGGGAGCCTGCCTTGCTCCAGCTGCTTTATTTCACAGACAACTGGATACAGGGGCTGAGCGCTCGGCTCTGGTGAAGGCAGTCCTGGATTTGATTCCGACTCATTACTTACCAGCTGAGTAACTCTGGCCAAGTCATTAGCCTTCCCAGACATCTACTTTTTTCACCTTTGGATAAATATAACAATCCTTTTTTTTCTTCCTTGAGGCAGATCTCCCTGTGTTGTCCAGGCTGGCCTCAAAACTCCCGGGCTCAAGCAGTTCCCCCTCCTCAGCCTCCCACGTCTAGGATTATAGGTTCACATCACCACACCTGGCTAATGCCATTGTGTGTATATATATATATATATATATATATATATATTTTTTTTTTTTCGTACTGGAGACTGAACCCAGGGTGTTGCACCACTGAGCTACATCACTAGTCCTTTTTGAGTCAGGGTCTTGCTAAGCTGTTGAGGCTGGCGTCTGGTTGTGCTCAGCCTCCTGTGTTGCTGGGATTACAGGCATGTATCACCACGCCTGGCTACAATATCTATCTTAAAGATATTGTAGACATCATGTAAGTRTGGCTTTTAAAACTGTGTTTGGCACACAATCATCATGCAAGGAAAGCAGCTGTGATCACTGAGGCAAAGTAGTCTGAGTAAATCACAAGAGGTAAAAAAGTGAATGAGGAAGAAGCAACCAGAACCCAGATGTCCTGACTCCCAGATCAGTGTGTGTTCCAAGCTTGTCTGTGCTATGTACAAGTCCCAATGCCATCTGCTCCCAATGCAACGGCCTGCCGRCCTCCCAGCACTCACCTACCTTAAAGAGATGTGGGTGCTTGATGTAGATTCTCCCTCTGGTGCCCCCCATCCCTAGGGCCCTGAAAGTGAAAGATGAGTGGTAAGGGTTCCATCAGGCAGGGCCTCTAGTGGCCGAGGCCCGATTGCCCCCATTAGCACCAACGCTCTTAGACTCACTTGTTGGCTCGAGAGCCCAGCACAAAGGTGGTAGTTTCATTCAGCCGAGCTGGGTCCCACTGGATAAGAGAGAGGCGGGTGAGGGTGGGGCTAATGTGGTGAGCAGGACAGAAACACTCTTGCCCCCACACTTCTCACCACTGTCCTTATCCCTCGTTCAATAGTTTACTAGGAAATGAAGTACTTTTAATATACTAGGCCCTGTGTTAGATGGTGGAAATAAAGAGATGAATAAGAAACAGACATAGATACAAACAATCAGGCCACTATGTGATGGGACAATGACAAGGCTGAATGCTGGCTGTGAGTGGTGCCAAAGCAGATGGTCAGTCAGGGAGTCTTCCTCGAAGAGCTGGTCCTCAAGTTAATTCTTAAAGGTGAGCAKGAGCTGGACAGGGTCAAGGGGAGGAGACGGGTATTCCAGACAGAGTAAAGGCAGGTGGGAGCTCTTGGCATGCTGGAGAAGCCACGAGCAATTCTGTGTTGCTAAAGGAGAAAGCCAGCCAGGGAGCAGAACTGCTGAGGCGGGAGAGAGCGACAYGGAGGAGCTGGCGGTCACAGGAAGCCACCTTTAAGGGTTTGTCCTTTTCTTTATTCAGGCACTGGGGACTTGTTGAAGGCCTCTGAACATATAAGAGTCAGCCATGCTTCAAAAATAGCTCACCTTCCAGCAGTGTGGATGATGGGTTTAGGGGCATGGTGACAGGCAGGGAGAGCAGTCTAGAGGCTGCTGTGATCAAGCAGAACTGAAGCAAGACTAGGGCTGAGGTAGGCAGCAGTCAGGAGGAGGAAGAAGTAATAGGGACTGAACTTCTCAGAAGGTGGAGTCATTCAGCACTTGAGTGGATGTAGGGAGGCGGTGGAAAGGAACAGGGTCGATGACTGAGGGCAGCAATGTAAGGGAGGGTCAGTGAGGAAAGATTCCAAGTTCAATTTTGGATATGATGCTTTTTWAAAAAATATTTATGTTTTCGTTGTAGTTGGACACAACAACCTTTATTTATTTTTTTAAATTTATTTCTATGTGGTGCTGAGGATTGAACCCAGGGCCTCACACGTGCTAGGTGAACGCTCTACTGCTGAGCCACAACCGAGTCCTAGATATGCTGCTTTTGAAATGCCTATGGAACTTGCAGGCAGAAAGGTCTAGCAGACAGGAGGATATACAGGTTTTAAAGAAGAAAGGTTTGTGATAAAGAGACTGGGGAGTTTAGCAGATGGTGGTCCCTGAAACCACACAGTGGATGATTTAGATCATTCGTCGAAAAGCTTTAGGTGAAGTGGGCCAAGGGGAGTATTCTGGGGACAACCAAGGGCCACTGCCGAGGAAGAAGTCACCAAGACAGAGGGAGATTTGGAGAGAACAGAAAGATCTGGGAGAGCTCACGGCCACCAGCTTCAAGGGAGTAAGCAGAGTTTAGAAGGCAGGCGTGACAACCAGCGGGAAAGCAGAGAGGACCAGGGGGAAGAGGTGGCTAGTGTCTTCCAGACACAGCTCCGAAGAAGACTGCGGTACTTTTATCTATTTTACTGGGCTTCCAGCAATTACTTTATTGAAATAAAGGATTCAATCCTTAAAAAAGCTTGTAAACAACTGTTTGGGAAGCAGCAGAGGCTAGTGGTGTCAACAGACTTTGGGCCTGAGACTTGGCTCTTTCTYGCTAGCTGTATGATTTGGGCAAAACTCAAGTGTATTAAGAGCATAAGATAACTGAGAAGATAATTTTACCTGCAGGGGAGTTGGCAGGAAAGGAAGCTCCTCACTACAAGATGATAATAGAACCTATCTCATAAATCTGATATAAAGATTAAATGATTAGAATGTGAAAAACATTATTTTTTCAGAGCAAGAAAATATTTACTTTCCTCTTAAATAATGTATAAAGTTTTCCAGATAAATCAAATAAATTAGAACAATGTGAAAAAAAAAAGATTAAATGAGATAAGTCAAACAAAGATTCAGGCAGTGCCTGTCAATATTAGGTAATGAGCAAAGTATCAGACCGTTCGTGAACTTGTGGAATAAGGGACTCCTGCTTCTCTTTGTTATAGAATCTCGTTCTTTTGGATGGAGCTCGAGGCCTGTGCGTGCTAGGGAAGTGCTCTACCACTAAGCTCCAGCTCCAGCCTGGCCCTTTCTTTATTTTGTGCCTCATTCCAATTTTCACGTGGGATCTTCTCAGGAGGACCAGTTGCTGGAGGTAGAGAAGGGAACATGGCTGTGGAATGTGTGAACACATCCTATACCACCCATGCCCCTCTCCCTCACTGGGTCCCCAGAGCCTTCGCTGAGTCTCTCTGGGATACTGGTCACTGCCATGCTCACACAACATGCTTACAAAATTATACCTTGGGGCCTTCCCGGCGAATCGGTTCAGAGGATTTTGGCTTCCATCTGCTTGAAAGGAAAAGAAGAAAGGTGAATTCTCCAAGGTGGGCCAAGACTAGAAGGAAGGTTGCTAATGGTGCTAGGGCCTCATACAGTCTCCCTTCAGCCCTGGCTCTGATATGACTGGGCAGGAGGGCAAGTCCAGGAACTTGCAGCTTTCTCATCTGTCTGCAGGAGATAAGAGCAGCAGCTGCCCTGTTTTTGTTTTTGTTTGTGCCATCTGGGGAGTGAGTGAACCCAGGGCCTCACACGTGCTAGGCAAGTGCTCTATCCATGAGTCACACCCCCAGCCCTTGCCCTACCCATTTTGTGTCATTGAGGAACCAAACTGACCCAGGAGGAGACAAATCTAAGGGATGGCAATTAATGCTATTCTCTCTCCTATGTCGGTGGTTTCAAATTATCCTTATTCCCCTTTACCAGAGGAGTGACTTTATCTGCTTCATATACTGAGTTTCCATGAAGTTGTGTTTGAAAAAAAGATTCTGCTGCTTCAAAACTCTTTAAACCTCAGGGGTGGGAAGGGATGAACAAGTAGAGCACAGAGGACTTTTAGTTGGTGAAAATTCTCTGTGTGATACTGTAACAGTGGATACCTGTCACTTGTACAAACTCACAGATGACCAACATCACGAGTGAGTGTTAATGTACACTGTGGACTCTGGTGTAACGTCAGAGTAGATTCCTCAATTGTAACCAGTGACCATGTGGGTGCCAGAGGTTGATAACAGGGAGGCTATGCGAATGGGGAAGCAGGGAGTATATGGAATACTTCTTTATCTTCCACTGTTTGTAATGAACCTAAAAGTGCTCTTAAAAAAAAAAAGGGATGTAGCTCAGTGGCAAAGTGTTTGTCCAGCATGTGTGAAGCTCTGGGTTCAAAATTCCTAATAMTGTGAAACAAACAAACACAACTTTGCAAAGGTTCATCCCATAGACAGTGTGGTATAGTTTCCCCTTACTAACAGTATGACCTTGGGTAAGTAATTCTCTGAGTCTTTCTCTTTTTTTCCTCTTGTTTTCTTCTCTTTTTCTTTGTCTGCTAAATGAATTATACCTTCTTTAAGGGGGTGGCTGTAAGGATTAAAAAGGGAAGTCCAAAAGGTATCTTAGGCCAACCACAAGCATTTGATCTACACCACAATGAAAATGACTGTGTTTCAAGCTGGGCTGAACTGTTCTGAGGCAAAACCAGGATAAAATCCTCACTGCGCACCTCCTCACTCCTAGACCAGGGAAACACTCCTCTGGGATTAAGCAGGTAGGTCTGATTTCACAGGCACAGAACTGTGGCCTCCTTCCCTCCGAGACCACAACTGTCCCTCTGCTCCCTTCAGCTCTCACCACACTGGCGGCCTCTACTCACACCATGCCGGCTGCTGCCCGGTCATTTGACAGAATGTGTCCAGGAGGCCGTCCTTTCCTCTGCCACAAAGAACAGCTGTCAGAGCCCTGGCCCTGGGGAACACTCCCCACCAACCTCCCACCCCRCCCTAACGGCATGTCCAGGGTCCCCTGGCAAAGGCAGTTTTCCAGAGAGTGCAAATGATGCTTGGGAGTGAAACAGTGTGACTGTTTCTAGGGTTCGGCCTCCGGTCCCTAGAACAGCCTAGAGTACACGAGGAAGCCCAGCACCCTCTCCCAGCTAGAAAATGGCTTACCTTTTTGGGAACGGGGCTTCCTCGATGGGTACATTCTTCCTCTGCCTGCCGGCCACGCTGGAAGAAAAGGGAAGGGAATCAGTGGAAGGCCGTGCCTGGGAGCTGTGGGTCTTCTGGGGTGTAGAAGACAGATTCCCTGGCCTGTAGTCCTCTGGCTGCTGCCGACCCAGGCCCCTGCAGCCCATTCAGGTACTCTTTGACCTGGACCTTACCAATGGGTGGTGCAGGAAACTTCTGAGCCTACATACTTCCTATGCCTCCCAGCCCGATTTATTTTCCCCTTCAAGACCCCCGGACACAGTGCCTCTAACCTTTATTCCTGGAAGCTCATGGGTCAATCTAGGTATTACTTTTTCTCCATCTGAAAATAGTAGCTTAGCCTGAAAAGAAAAGATCAAGTGTTAACAATCACTATTTTGGTTGGTAAACATTTTTTTTTTAGGTTGTTGATGAACCTTTATTTTATTTATTTATATGTGGTGCTGAGATTCAAACCCAGGGCCTAATACATGCCAGGCAAGTGCGCCACCACTGAGCCACAACCCCAGCCCCCCCGCCTCTATTTTTTAAAAAATATTAATTTTTTTTAGCTTTTAGGTGAACACAATATCTTTATTTTATTTTTATGTGGTACTGAGGATCGAACCCAGTGCCTCATGCATGCCAGGCGAGCGCACTACTACTTGAGCCATATCTMCAGCCCAAATGCCTGTATTTTTTAAGAAAGAACTCCAAACTGGTCTAAAGCTTTCCATAAGCTGGGTGTGGTGACATACACCTGTAATCCCAGCAACTTGGGAGGCAGAGGCAGGAGGATCTTGAGTGAAGCCAGCCTCATCAATTTAGCAAGGTGCTAAGCAACTCAGTGAGACCCGGTCTCTAATAAAATACAAAATAGGGCTGGGGATGTGGCTCAGGGGTTGAATGCCCCTGAGTTCAGTCCCTGGTACCCAAATGAAAAAACAAAACAAAACAAAAAAACCCTAAAACCTTTCATAGTCAGTATRGGAAGGCATGGTTACATATATTTATTTAAAAGAATAGATAAAATAGAAAGACATAAACACATGTATTTATTCACAAAAAGTAAATCCGAGGCTTCGTTGGTAGCACATTCCTCTTCTGCCTGCAGGGAATGCTGAAGTAAAGGGGAAGGRGAGGTCAGTGGGAAGCCTTTTCTTTTTCTTGGCAGAAGTGGGAATTGATCCCAGAGGTGCTCTACCGCTGAGCTATATCCTCAGCCTTTTAAAAATTTTGAGACAGGGGCTTGCTAAGTTTCCCAGGCTGATCTTGAACTGTTGATGCTCCTGCTTCAGCCTCCCCTGTAGCTGGGATTACAGGTGTACACCACCACACCCAGCCCTATATTATTTTATTTAAAAAAATAATCTGAGTAATGATCACTGTTGAACAGTTAGAAAATGTAATGAAGCAAAATAAAAAAATCAAATCTGAAATTTCATTATTCACAGAAAACTAGCACTAACTTTTCAATGTAAATTCTAATTCACTTTTCCCATTTAAATATATTCATGCTTTTTTAACTGAATACATTACTATCCTACATATTCCTCAATAACTGCTGTTTTTCATTTAATAAATCTTGAATTCTTAGGACATAACTACTGCTGGGGACACAGTAGTGAGTAAGATACTGTGGAGTTCCTTGCTTTGTATATCAACAAGATGATTTGGGGTCATGGTAAATACAGCAAAGAAGAAAAACTCCAGGTAGAAGTGGCYGTCATCAGAGAAGAATTCTATTTTAAGGGGGGTGCTCAGGGAAGGTCCTATGGAGAAGGCAACCCCTGAGCTGAGACGGAGCAGGCTGTAGAACAAAGCTGAGCAGAGCTGGGCACAGTGAGGCGTGGCTGCAGTCGGGYTGGCCAGGTGGCGGAGGCAGGAGGATGGCTAAATCTACGAGTTTGAGACCAGCCTAGGTAAGCAGTGATACCTCCAGGTCAGAAAAGTTAAAACAAAGAAAATAAAAGCAGAGCTGAACAGAGGTGTGTTTTGGCAGCAGAAAGAAGTGCAGAACCCCCAAGGAGGGGGGACTCGGTTCAAGCAAGGAAGAAAAGATTGGCCTGGCAAGTAATGGGCAAAGGGAGGTGAGGAGCGAGGAACCCCGGGAAGGGAGGCCAGGTGGAGGGTGGCAGGGGCCTTGCAGGCCAGGTGCAGAACTGGGTTTCAACAGCTCTGGAGCAGCACTGATGGGGCTTCTGGATACGCTCTTCTCCTGGCCTCTGAGACCATGCTCCCTGTGTTCTTCTCCTCTGACCACTCTTTCTTAAYCTCATCTGCTGGCTTATCTTCCTCAATCTGCCTCTTTCCATTCCATCCTCTTTCATTAGATATTCTATCTGCTCTCATTGATGCTCACAGCTGCAGTTAACATCCACAAACTGAGGACTCTGTGATTTTTAAAAATCTTCAGTTGTGGCAGAAAGGATATCCTTTGAGGTCCTGACTTAGAAACCAAATGGCCTGCCCCATGCACATRCTTGGACGTCCCAGTTTTGTTAAATCCAAAACTGGACTCATGATTGTCTCTGCCAAATTTTGTTCCTTTTCAGATAAGAGTACACCAGTCTTGAGCCAGCCGAAACAAGGATGCACTTGAGCTGGAGAGCCTGATGAGGACCTGACATTCCATCACTTGTCACCATTTCCTGAGCCTCTGAGTGATCCTCACCGCTCTCAAACTCTACACCTCATCTGGACCTTGGTGAGAGCCGCAAATTCTCCCTACAACCCTTTCCTCAACTGGTCATCCACTCCATGCCAGGAGAAGCCTGCCTTGGTTCCGGACCTGGTTACTGTGGTCTGAGTGAGTGCGCATCTGCTGGACTTAAAGCCTAAGGCTTAAGACTTTTGAACTTAGCATGCAGAGAGAATGTCTGTCATTAGCCTGTCTGATTAAGTGTGTTTCGCAGTGCTTAGAATTAATCTAGAATTGTTTACTGGGAACTGGTTATGTCTTTTGCAGTGCATAGCATTAAGGATTGCTTAAGAACCTATAGAGTGAAATTGTATTGAGTAATTTGAGTGAATAAAGCATTGAAAGGGGGAAAAAAAGAGTTCATCAGTCTCAATGTGTAATTAATTATGCACACATTTATGTGGATAATGATTCTTAGCTCTTTGCTTAACTAGTCTGTGAGTTCTATGAGGGCAGGAAGCCTGTTTGTTCACTTGCCTGTTAATTCATTCAGTTGCTGGAACATTCTGCAAACACCTAGTGTACATGTCATATTCCATGGCTGGGAGTAAAATGATGAAAAAGAYTGTGCCTGAACTCTTGTAAAGCTCGGCATTTTAGCAGAGTAGGGGAAGGACTGAGAGGAAGGTGGAAAATAAGCAAGTGAACATAATAATTTCAGGTTCAAATAAATGTCAGAAATAAACCTGTGGGGGCTGGGGATGTGGCTCAAGCGGTAGCGCGCTCGCCTGGCATGCGTGCGGCCCGGGTTCGATCCTCAGCACCACATACAAACAAAGATGTTGTATCCGCCGAAAACTAAAAAATAAATATTAAAAAAAAGAAAAAAAAAAGGAAATAAACCTGTGCAATGACAGAGAGTGACTGAAGGTGAGAGAGGGGCTGCAATGGAGTGGTCAGGGATGGGCTGGCTGACGAGTAACAGTTAAGCTGAGATCTGAAGAAAAGCAGAGTCAGGGCAGAGCGTGCTGGGCAGGAGGATAGCAAGTGACAGTTCTGGAGGAGTGGGACAGAGTCAGAATGGCTGGAGCAGGCCGAGAGGGGCGGCAGGGCGAGATGCAGTCAACACGCAGCAGGAGCTGGTCCAGGAGGGCTCCGTGGATCAGGGAAGGCACTAGAGTTTTATTTTATCTRTAACAGGAAGTCACTAGCGGGTTTTAAAGAGGGAGTAAATGATCTGATTCATCTTTACAGAGATTAGTCTGCTGCTGCTAGAAGGAACTGGAAGCAGGTAAGAGTAGATGTAGCGCAGGCCTGAGACATAAATCTGTGAATCATCATCAGTCCAAATGACTTCAAAGCCAGAGGATTAGATGGACTCATCTTAGGAAGCAAATGGACAGAAAGGGTCTGAGGACGGAACTCAGGAAGCAGCAGCGCTACAAGTCAGGGAGGCAGGAAGCACTAGCCGGAGGCTGGACAAAAGGAAATGAACCAAGAGCGGGAGAATGTTCCAAGAGACACGAACCGAACCGAGCCCACGCGACAAAAGCCACATGAGTCAGCTGAGCACAGTCAGGACCCACAGGGATGACAGCACGGGGTATGCTAAAAGGCTCCCTGGTGAAGTGGTGAGAACTCAAGCCAAACACAGYAAGCAAACACAGTGGGTGAGAAAGGGAGCCAGTGATTGCTGACAGCTCCCGTTGTTTTTTTTTTTTTGGTGGGGGTGGGGGATTGAACCCAAGAGTGCTCTACCACTAAGCAATATCCTTTTATTTTCAGACAGGGTCTCAMGAAGTTTCCCAGGCTAGCCTCAGCCTCAAACTTGTCATTTTCCTGCTTCAGCCTCCTRAGTGGCTGGGATTACAGGTGTGTGCCACCACACCCGGCTTACTGACAGCCATTCTTGAAGTGTGGCTTGAAATGGGAACTAAGAAACGGTGTAGCAGCTGAAGGGACTGCAGGTTCCAGGGTGGTCTGTCTGCTCACCACTGTATCCCTAGTGCCCCAATGAATAAGCCATATTATAAAGACACATATAGGAAAAAGACCCGGAGAAAGCAGAAAATGTTATTAGTGGTTATTGCAGGGTAGTGAGGTTTTTCAAATGTATTTTTAAAATTTATGAGAGTAGAGACTAAACCCAGTGCTTCCTGCATGCTAGGTAAGCACTCTACCACTGAGCTATATCCTTGACCCCTTTCTAAACTTTATTTTGAGACAGGGTCTTGCTAAGTTGCCTAGGCTGGCCTTGTACTTAGGATCCTCTTGCCTCAGCCTCCCAAGTAGCTGGGATTATTGGGGTGTGTTGAGAGCCACAGCCGGAGTTGGAATGGCCCCTGGCATTTTGCCAGAAGTAATGGTTGAGAGGCAAGCCATTAAGATGATGCTGGATTGAAACAGGTTGTGTATTCAATTGTATATAGACCCCTGCTGTCCGCCTGGCGCCCACTACTTTGGAGTTCTCCAGGGGATTCCTGGGGAGTTCACGTTGGTTGGTGAAGTTCCGATGGAGGGTGTTCCGGTTGGTGTGTGGTGTGCCTGCATTTTCTGCTTGGTATTCCCAAGAAAGCATGTCACCTACTGTATTTTTGCCTCTTCTATCTCCTCAGGTTCTTCCTGGCCCACTGCTCATCCCTTCTAGGCACACCACACACCAATAGAACACCATCATGTCCAGTCTAGAATCTGTAGAATCTGGTTTTTTTTTTTTTTTTGTACTGGGGATTGAATCCAGGGGTGATTTACTATTGAGCTATATCCCCAGCCCTTTTTATTTTGAGACAGGGCCTTGCTAAATTGCCCTGGCTGGCCTCCAACTTGCAATCCTCCTGCCTTAACCTCCCAAGTACCTGGGATTACAGGAGTGCACCACTGCCGCCTGACTGAAGAATCTCTAATGTAACAAGAAATTCTGCATATGGTTTAGACAAGTGGACCCCAAAGACCTTCCAACTATCCTGATGGCCATCTGAAAGCTAAGCTCTGATGTAAGAAATACTTTCTGTAATTATGAATGTAACAATGTATTTAATATCCAGTTGTTCTGCATCACATGCACTTATGCTTTGATTATGTATATTTTCCCATTTAATCCCCACAGCAAACCACTGGCTGTAGGGAGTGGCTTTATTCTTAATTTTAGAGATGAGGAAATTGAAGCTCAGAAAGGTTAAAGAGTTGCTTGAGGTTTTCTTTTTGTCTTGTTTCCTGTTGGGTGAGCATGAGACTCTTTGGGCTTTTTACCTCCCTGTGCTCAGATTCTATGGTGACCACACAGCCTTCTATTCCATATTCTGGCTTCTTATCAGTACTGGTAAGGGCCAGCTCTGGAGGGTGAACATGGGGATTCAGGAGACTGGAAAGGTATAACCATTTATTGAATTCAAGTTATGCCCAATTTAAGTTCATCTTTTACCTGAACCCCTCAAAGGTCTCCTAAATTCCCTTCCAAACCAATCTCCTAAGGTAGTCAGAGAAGTTTTTTCAAAGTGCAAATCTCATTAGGCCACTCTTCTGGTTACGACTCCATATCTATCATTTGGTTCATGCTCTGTGTAATCTGCCTCTGCCTGCATCTCCAGTTTATCATGTTTCACTCTCTCCACCCTCTAAACCAGCCTCCYTGGCTTCTTTCTGTTTTTTAGGCATTCTGCATTCCCTTTGACCCCTGGTCTTGTCTCCATACTTACACACTTGTAACAGATTGTAACTACAGATACACTGTGTGATTACTTGAGTAATGTCAAGAGTTTTAAGGGTAAGGACTATGCCTGTTTGCACACCACTGTTGGGGCCTGGCACAGCAGCATAGTAATGGGTACACAGTAGGCCCTCAATAATATCAGTCAAAGAGATAAACTCAAGAAAGTATTTTGGGATGCAAGTGAGTAAATGTTTTATCAATTTAAGCTTTTTTTTTTGGTACTGGGGATTGAACCCAGGATCCTCTGGTCTCAGTCTCCTGACTTGGTGGGACTACAGGTGTGTACCACAGCACCTAGCATCAATCTAATATTTATTCAACTCCAATTTATTCAACTCCAATTTACTTTATTCAACTCCAATATTATTAACAAGTCAGGTGCAGTGGCACATGCCTGTAATCCCAGCGGTTGGGAGGCTAAGGCAGGAGGATTGAAAGTTCAAAGCCAATCTTAACAATTTAGAGAGGCCCTAAGCAATTCAGTAAGACCTTGTCTCTAAATAAAATACAAAATAAGGCTGGGGAATGTGGCTTAGTAGTTGAGTGTTCCTTAGTTCAACCCCTGGTACCAAAAAAAAAAAAAAAAAAAAAATATATATATATATATACACACACACACACACACACAAATTATTTCTGTCTTATTATTAGCGGTTGTTATACATGATCATAACACACTGAAGTCATGGAGTGAATTAATGAATCTGGCCTCTTAGGAATCTGGTTAGCCTAAACTTGACTATCAGAACTTCTCATAGCACTTGCCCATGAGAACCAGATTGGTTTTCACTGTACAGACAGGATGGGGTTCTGCCCTTCAAGAGCTGAGGTCTTGCTTTTTTCTGAGGCTACATCTGAGTAGGCAGGCAGCCTTTTAGAAGGCATTTTTCTTTCATATCACTACAATTACCTCATAGGAGTGAACTCACAATAATCCTTATTGCTCTGATTATGAAGAAATTTCCATTTTTCACAGCTAATAGTTTCACAGTAAAGCAAAGAATCTGGGTGATGTTGACAATTCCTATTAATGATAGTAGCTGATGTTCTCTATCGTCTTGGGAACACAGTCATTTACAGACCTGATGTCATGCCTCCTGACCACACCTGAGAGGCTGGGAGATAGCAAGTGTGCTATATTCTCCTGATCCCAAAAGGGACTACGACAACTTGAAGGTGATCCACCAAGCACCCTCGGGGTGAGATAGATCTTAGCTGTCTAATTCTTGTGTCTTAAGTTACAATTTACTTTTCTTCTTTTGGTTTGCCCAATTTAATTTTTTTTCAGCTTTATTGAGGTACGAGTGACAAACAGAAATTATTATATATTCAAGGTGGACAATGTGATTATTTGATATATATATACCTATATTATGAAATAGTGATCATAATTAAAATAACCAACACATCCATCACTATATAGGTATTTTGTGTGGAACATTTAAGATATACTCTCTTAGTAAATTTCAAGCACACGATAAAGTATTATTAGCAACACTCAYGCTGATATACATCACATCTATATTGAAAGTCTGTGCTTGCTCTCTCTTAAAAAAAATATATATTTATTTGGTTGCGGATGAACTTTTATTTTATTTACTTATTTTTATGTGGTGCTGAGAAACAAACCCAGTTCCTCACACATGCTAGGTAAGTACTCTACCACTGAGTTACAACTCCAGTCCAAAAGTCTGTGCTCTAACCAATATTTCCCTACTTCCCTGGTAACCACCAGTGTACTCTCTGCTTCCATGAGTTTGCTAAGCGTAATTTCTTTATCTGTAAAATAGAGATTAAAAAAAAAAAAACAACACCTTATGAACAGGGTTTCTTCTGAGGCATAAATGAAATAATGCATCTATCACTATACCTGGCACCTAGTACCTACTTCTTTTGCCTTGTCTGTCAACAACAGTTCTAAGCCCTGGAGATAAGTGGCTTTCTGGGCATACCACTGATGATAGGATCACATTTCTTAGCAGAACCCTGAGGGCTGAACCCTGTGCCCSCATGTCTTGGCTTCTCTGGTCTCACCTGTTCAAGGCAGCTCCGACAGGCCTCCTGGATCAGCTGCTCTGCATCCACCTCTTCCCCAATGTTGTCTCGCACGTTCAGTGCTGCTTTCTGGAAGAACTAGGGATGCACAACAGAGGACAAGGTCAGAAGTTCTGCTAATTTACAATAACCTGAAGGAAACTGAAAAATAAAACAGAAGTTTTTATCCTGCTCTCATACAGAAGAAATGCAAAATAACACACCCTTTTTGGAGAGTGACTTTTTTCCCTATTACTCACTAATTCCATCTCTAGGAATTTATCCCCAGAAATAGTCTCACAAGTGAACAAAGATGTTCATTCCAGTGTTGTTTGAAACAGGGAAAAACTGGAAACARCTGAATATTCTAGGGACTAGCTAATTAAATCATGGAACATCCATACAACAGACTACTCTACAACTATTACAAAGAGAAGCAGGGGGAGCTATTGTGCACTGACCTAAAAACATGACCAAAAGTGAAATAAATTAAGTTACAGAACAGTTTGTATATGTGTATATAAACATGTACACAACCTACATACTCATGTAAAAAACTGAGTTTGGTATCTTTGGGATGAATTTTAGTGACTTTTGGCTCTTGTTTTAAGAAGTATCTTTGTGTGTGTATGTGGTACTGGGGATTGAACTAGGGGCTGGCACATGCTAGGCAAGCACTCTACCACTTGAGTTACAGCCCTAGCCTTTTAAAGTTGCCCGCGTTGACTCTCAATGTGTGAGCATTCTGCTTCAGCTTCCTAAGTACTGGAATTACAGGTCTGAACCACCACACATGGCTGTATAATTTTAATTAGTATTTTCTTATTAAAAAATTTCAAATACATAGAAAATTTGAATATTTAATAAATAGCTAATACCCACCACCTAAGACTACAATTAACATTATGTTTCTCCATCACATATCTATTAATGTACTCATCTATCCATCCATAAATCATCTTGTAATCTTTATTTTTTATAACTTGTATTATTAAAACTTTTTAAAAATTCTGGTATTGGAGACTGAATGTAGCCACCGAGCTACATTCCCAGTCCTTTTTCTTTTCTTTTTTTTAAATACCTTTATGTTGTTTATTTAGTTTTTTTATATGGTGCTGGGTATCGAACCCAGTGCCTCACGCATGCTAGGTAAGCGCTCTACCACTGAGCCACAACCCCAGCCCCCCTAGTCCTTTTTATTTTATTTTCAAGCAGGGTCTTGCTAAGTTTCTGAGGCTGAGCTTGAATTTGCGATACTTCTGCCTCAGTCTCTGAAATTCACTGGGATTACAGGTGTGCAACGCCACAACTGCCTAAAATCTAAAATCCTCACTGTGGCTTCAAAAGTTTTACTAGAGCTAGGCTTGTTACCTCCCAAGCACTTTGTTACTCTCCCAGTTTAGTCTGTTCCACACTGGTCAACTTATTGCTTTGAATGTGCCAAGCACACTCCTGCTTCAGGGCCTCTGTCGTTTTCTCTATGCCTAGACCACTTTTCTCTTACTTGTCTGCGTGGCTTGCCCAGTCTCACTTTATTCAGGTTTCCATTCAAATGTCTTCTCTTTGTTAGTCACAAAACATACAACAGCAATCTTGCTGGGCATTGTGGCACATGACTGTAATCCTAGCTACTTGGGAGGCTGAAGCAAGAGGATCACCAAATTTGAGGCCAGCCTCAGCAACTTAGCAGGACCCTATCTCAAAATAAAATAAAATGGACTTGCTTAGCATGCAGAAGGCCCTGGGTTCAATCCATTGCACCTCTGAAAAATAAAACAAAAAGCAACCCCATGTCCCAGAGGTCCTCTCTCCTCTCATTCCCTAAAGTAGTACGTACATATTTGCTTAAAGAAAACAAGGTTTCTGTCTGTTATTTTCACTCTGCATTCCTAAAACCTAGAACAGTGTCTGGCAGTATGGTAGTAGCCATATATATATATATATATATATATATATATATATATATATATTTTTTTTTTTTTTTTTTTTTTTTTTTTTTTTTTGTATGGGTTCTGGGTATCAAATCCTGGGCCTTGGCATGTGCTGGGAATAAATTTTTTCCCCCAAACAACAACAAAATACATAAGCAGAAGGTTTGGGAAGAAAACAGAGTTTGGCAGGGCATGGTGGCACATGCCTGTATGCCCAGAGGCTGAGATAGGAGTATTATAAATTCAAGGTCAGCCACAGCAACTTAGTGAGGTCCTCAGCAACCTATCGAGACCTTGTCTCAAAATTTAAAAAAATAAATCTTTAGTATCAGCCCCCCCCCCAAAAAAAAAATTCAGAGTTCAGTTTTGAATATACTGAGTTTGAAGCATCCATGGGATATGCAGGTAGAGCTATGGAGAAGTTTATTGATAGGCTAAGAAAGTAATTTTAATTAACAAAAATGGTGCTAATGTTAATCAAGTAATAAAATACTGGTTGAACACTTGGTATTTCCAAGCAAGATGGTGGGCACATTACACTTAAGTCATTTCATCCTTACAAAAACTTGGCAAAAAAGATATCTGAATTACCTCCAAGAGGGGAAAAAGTTCTTGGGGGGTAGCTGGCAGAATTAGAAAGCTTGAGATGTCTGAGTGCCATACARACAGAGAGTGGTGCTGCAGGGAAGCCCTGGCTGCTCAGGAGTCTTTCCCCATGAGTGTTCTCTCTGTCCTTCTCACCTTCATATACTTGTTGAAGACAGTCTGGATCTCCTCATTGATGCTCGGCTGCAGGACAGCTCGGAGGAGGTCCATGGAGATGGCAGGATCTGTGAAACTGCATTTAGGAGCGAGACAGAGTCAGCAGCTGTGGCCCAAACATATCCTTTCCCAGTGTGCCCAGCCAATTATTGACATAGGGTTCAGTCTTTCTTCTTCTTCTTCTTCTTTTTTTTTGGTACCAAGGATTGAATCCAGCAGTGCTTAACCACTGAGTCACATCCCCAGCCCTTTTTATTTTTTGTTTTGAGACAGGGTCTTGCTAGATTGCTGAGGCTGGTTTTGAACACATGATCCTGCCTCAGCCTCCTGAATTACTGGGATTACAGGTGGGTGCCACCATGCCCAGCGACATAGGATTCTTTAGCAGCAATACTAGATAGCTTTCACTAAACACTAGTCATGTGCTCAGATTCTGGGCAAGATCACATGGATGCTTGACTTTAATTCATTCTCATAAATATAAAGTGGGCATTATTTTCAAAGTGAAATATAATATTTATACAGAAAAATACATACACTTAAACAATTATGGTGAATGACCAATCACTACCCAGGTTAAAAGTCATCCTTAACGCCCATGACTTCCTTGAGTTGGATATTACTATTGGACCCCCAGCAAGACTAAGAAAAAAGAGGTTCAGAGAGGTTAGGGACTTGTCCAAGAGTTAGTTACTCAGTTAATACAGAGTCTGTATTAGAACACAGCTGTCTGACTCCAGAGCCTATGTTTTTAACCTCCATGCTGACATCTTTAGAGCTCCCAAGTGCAGCCTCAATGAATGTTAAGGATCTTGGATACTGTTGTTAAATCCACCTCTCTACCCTCCATTTCCAGATGAGTTCAGAGAGGGAAGTCAGGGCAAGTCACTCATCAGTGACTTGCTCAAGTACACAGAGTTGAGAATGAGTCTCTTTTTTCCCAGGCCAGTGCTCTCTACTGTTTACAGATCTCTTCTCAGCCGTGTGCAGTGGGGATCCCAATACTCTCGCCCACCTCTGTGCCTGGAACGTAAGTCCCACTAAGGGCCAGCCTTACCTTGTTGTCATTTGTGAGCGCCGGCCCCTTCGCTGCACCTGCCGGTGCTTTATCATTATGTTCCAAGGGTTCTGTGGGAATCAAGGGAGCAAATGTCACTAAGACCTGTGACCCTGGGGTGGTGGAGGATGAGTATGAAGCTAGCCTAGAAATCCCTTCTCGGATCCATTCGCCCCCTCTCCCACTTTGGGGAGAAGGGGAGGACAGTGATTGGAAGGTGCTGCTAGGGAAAAAGAACCGAGAAAAAGTTTCCTGCCTCAAAGTCCCAGCGCCGCCTTTCCTGGAGCAGCAGGAGGAACACCCAGAGCCTACTCGGTGGCAGGCTGCTTTGCCGGGCGCGTCAGGGCTTTTACCATCCCCTCGCCACGACTGGACGAGGTCGCCGGTGCTAATCATCTCCGCCCTACAGGAGAGAAGCCCGGGCTGGGGGATGCCAGGCTGGCCCTCAGCACCTAACCAGGAGGGCGTCGCCAGACCTTGAATCCAGGTCGTGGACTGCGAAAACGGCAACCCCTCGGCAGCACCAGCCGCCGCGTTCTCTCGCCCGCGGGCCAGGGTCCCGGGAGCCCGAGGCCCTGCCCGGCCCGAGCCCAGGCCTCACCCGGGGCGCCCTCACCATGAGAACCAGCTGCCCCGCTGCGCCCGCGTCACCCAGCTCGGTGCCGCCCCGCTCAGCCCCGCCGGGTCCCCGCGGCTGCTCGGCGTCGCCAGTGGCCCCCATGGCGCCCCCGGCCCCCACAACTTCAGCCCGACTCTGCCACCGGCCGGAAAGTGGCGCCGTGACGTCACCGGAGCGCGCCGCCCACTGGCCCGGAAAGCGCGACGCCCGCAGCTGCGGGGTTACCATGGGAACCGAACCGCCACCGGGTCGCGGGCCCTCGGAGACCCTGCGTGTGGGGCGGTTGGGGCTCCCTCCCTGGAGCGCTGAGCCTCCGGGGGACTGTGGGTGTCTCAGGGCCGTTCCCCGCTGGGCCAAGGCCCGGGACGAGTGCGGGGTAGGAGGAGCGGAGCAGGTGTCCGCGGGCTGAGGTTGGGAGCTGAGGGGACGCACGGTCCGACGGTGACACCTGCAGTTGGGTCTTTGAACACTACAGCTTTTTTTTTTTTGGGGGGGGGGGTCAGGTACTGGGGATTGAACTCGGGGACACTTTCCCACCGAGCCGCACCCCCAGCCCTATTTGGTATTTTATTTAGAGACAGGGTCTCGCTGAGTTGCTTAGCGCCTTGCTCTGGCTGAGGCTGGCTTGGAACTCGCCGTCCTCCCAAGCTGCYGGGACGACATCCTCCCAAGCTGCTGGGACGACAGGCGTGCGCCACCCCGCGGGCTACAGCTTCTAATATATTTCGGCCGGAGCCTCCAAAATTGGAGGGACCTAAAGCGTGGACCAGAAACTCCGCGTGGGAAAGCGGGGCCTGTGCCATCCCAAACACGCACCGCCTCTCTCCTCGCTCTGACCTCAGGGCTGCCTCCAGGGCAGCAGAATGAAGGCTGGGTCTTGCTCTGTGAGCCTCCCTTGCCTGCAGAGAGCTGGGCTTCTCTTCCCGGAGGAGTGGTTCTGGGATGAGCTGGGAGGATGRGCTTAACTGTGGCATTCCCCAGGCCCCCCATAGCTCTGTCTCAGAGGTAAGATGTCCCCGAATAGAACTGGATTCATTTATGGGTGGTAGAGAAAATGACTCTTGCCAGATCACAATATCGGGTAGTAGAAAGTGCAGGAGTTCTGCAGTCAGAAAGATCAGGGTTCARATGTGATGTGGTATGGTGGTTAAGAATACTGGATATGGGCCCKGGGCAGTGGCACAGGCCTGTAATCCCAGCGGCTCAGGAGACTGGGACAGGAGAATCCCGAGTTAAAAGCCAACTTTAACAAAGGCGAGGGGACCCTGTCTCTTAAAAAAAAAAAAAAATAGAGCTGGGAATGTGGCCCTGTGGCAGAGTGCCTCTGAGTCCAGTCCCCAGTAAACGCCCCCCCCCCATCCTCCAAAAAATATTGGATATGGAATTGGACTACCTTCTTTTGTCCTACTACCTACTAGCTGTGTGACCCACTTTCTTAAACTCTGTGTCTTAGTTTTTCAACTGTAAAGTGGGAATAATAGCACCTGCCTTAGAGGGTTGTAATGAGGAGTAATGAGTTAATTCTTTCAAACCACTTAATTTTACCCCCCTGGTATTGGGGATCAAATCCAGAGCATCATGTATGCCAGCCAAGCACTCTACCACTGATCCACATCCCACCCCCCCATACAAAGTGCTTAAAACTATGGTACAACTAGCCCTTCAAATAATACTGTTACTGTTCCAATGTTCCAGAGGCTACCATTTATTGACATTCTTTCCARCCTCTCTGAGTCAATTTTTCCTTCCTTCCTTTCTTCCTTCTTTTTATACTGGGTACTTCATCTCCAGTCCTTTTTATTTTCTAATTTGAGGCAAGGTCTCACTAAGTTGCCCTAACTGGTCTTGGACTTGAGATCCTCCTGCCTCAGCCTCCTGGGTAGCTGGGATTACAGGCACGCACCACCATACCTGGCTTTTATATCAAGTTTCTTACTTTTGCAAGATTATTGTGTGAATTAAAATAAATAATGTATATGAAGTACATACTAGATATTAAACAAGTTTTAATTATTTCGTTGCTCCAACATCAGCCTTTTAACATTAAGGGCAACTTCCTTGCACCAAACTCTTTGGCTGTATTAAGATTTTTACCGGGGCTGGGGATGTGGCTCAAGCGGTAGCGCGCTCGCCTGGCATGCATGCGGCCMGGGTTCGATCCTCAGCACCATATACAAAAACAAAGATGTTGTGTCCGCCCAAAACTAAAAAATATTAAAATTCTCTCTCTCCCCCCACTCTATTAACAAAAAAGATTTTTACCTTGTACTTTTAATGTTCCCTCACTTTAGCCCTACAGTGCTAAGCTGTGCCAGTGGACACCACTAGCTGACCAAATACAYGAGCAAGACAGATAAAATAAAAACAGAGGAAGAAGAGATAGGGGAAGGGGGCATATGTGCTGTGAGTCATAGCAACTCTTCTCTTGAGTTTACCAACTAGCCAGAATGTAGGGTTTTGGTGCATTCGCATTAGCTTTGAACAAACTCAAGTAGTGCTGCTCTATAGTTGTGTTTTTTTTTTTTATAGTTTCTAAGGGGCCATTTCATTCTGTCTCTTCTAGATTGCTCTGATGAGCAGGAACTACAATGTTGGTAAACTTTGTTATTTGCTTAGCTTGGCTGTTCTCTTATTAAGTCATGCCTCTAGTCCTTCCCTTTGTCATTTCACCCAAGTCCTTCGAAAGGCCTGGAGGCTCTCTTCATCCTCTACCCAATGACTCTCCCTCCATTTTTTCCAGCTTCCCACTAGAATCCTCACTGTTGTCTAGGGGTACTGTGTGAAAAACTGCATTACAGAATTTGATTACCCCATCACATGTGCCCTATGGTAGTGCCAGGAATTTTCCCACACATCACCAACCAATCACTCTTCTTGTTGTCAGGAGAAGACATTCTTGGGCAGTATTGCATAAGGGAAGACTTTGGGACTGGGTTGAGGTAGATTCTCTGGTCCTGCCCTKTCTTTGGTTGATACTCTGGGAAGGTGTTCACCTCTGGCCTGAAATGGGCTCACATCTCAACCTCAGCATCATCAGGATGATAAGCTACCTCTTTCTTCTGAAGGCGCTTCTAGCTTTTGGGTTCCTGGCATCCTGGGTAACAGCAGAAGAGCATGGTGAGCTATCATTTGGGATCCCTGGCTAACATAAAGTGACTAGAGGAGAAGTCTCCCCTGCCTCCTCCCAGTGTGAGGTTCCTCTTTTGTGGAGACAATCATCTCTGTAGGACAGGACTGGATAAATAGATTCTTAGGACAGTAAGGGTAAATCCTCTTGGCCTTCTTTTCCTTCTCTGGACAAGGAGACAGGACTTACTAGAAGTTCCAGTTATTCTTTAGAGCTCATTAAATGAGACCACCAGGATCACCCCAGCTCTGAATGTGCAGCACAGCTGGTGCTTTAGGAGTGGAGAAAGGGAGTTAGTAGTTGTGTGGGAGGAGGAGAAGCTGGGTGCTGAGATAATTTGGATAGGAATGCTTGGAGATGCTGAAGTTCTTGAAGCACTCTTGGGCTCCATTCCTCATTTCCCAAGGCCTAATCAGGTATCCCAACTTTCTTTGTTCTCTTTTGCAGTGAAAGAGGGAGAATGCCCTCCTGATGAGAACCCGTGTAAAGAGCTGTGCCAGGATGATGAGTCATGTCCTCCTGGGCAGAAGTGCTGCAGCACGGGCTGTGGTCAGGTCTGCCGAGAATACTTTCCTATAGGTATGTATGTATGTAGGCCAGTATGCTCTCTGGCCTTGCCTTTGGGATGGATAAAACCAAGAGCTTCCTGCTTCTCAGATTGGCTCTTGCTATCTAACTTGCCTAAAGAACTTCTTATTTTTCCTTTTTGGAAAAAAAAAAAAAGGCGGGGGGGTCTCCTTTCCTCATAAGTTGATTTGTCTTTTATTTTTTTGGCATGAGGGGTTGAGCCCAGGGCTTTGTGCATGCTAGGCAACTGCTCTGCCACCGAGCTACGTCCCCAGCCAGGAGTCCTTTCTTTATYATTCAGCACTCCAGTTCTTTGCCTTTTATCAGGAAAGAGCACACCACTGATTGTCAATGTCTTTTACTTTGGACTCAGTTCCTGTAAGTCACAAGAGGGGCAGAGTTCTGAAGGGGAGCCTGTTTAAGATAGTGATTTCTCTTAGGAGCAGACAGACCTTTTTAAGCCTTAAACAAACTTTAAAATCTTAAGGTTCTTTGTGTGTGTGTGTGTGTGTGTTGGGGACTGAATTCATGGACTTGCACATGCAAAGCATTCTTTCTACCACTGAGCTACATTCTCAATCGCATCTTAAGTGATAGCCTCAGTTTCCTCATCTGTAAAATAGAGATGATTGTGAGAATCAAATGCGTTGTTCCTGGTAAAAGGTGAATATCAATAGATGTTTTCATAAGTGTTGACTATTGTTGGTGGCTTTAGTGACACCCTTCCTCTGCTTCTTCTTTACGCTATGCTTCTAGGTGTTACAGGGCCCCATATCTCCTTCCTGTTGCCATCTCTGTTTCTTTACAGGGATGAAAAGAATCTGTCCCAGGATTGTTCGGAAACGATCCTGTTTTAAAAGTTGCACCACCGATGACACATGTCCAGGTGTAAAGAAGTGCTGTACGTTTGGCTGCAGCACAGCCTGTGTGGCCCCAGTCTCTCATTTCAAGCTGGGTAAGACATCCCACCCCCGCACCTTGGGGTCTGATTGACCCGCTGGTTTCTCTCTCAAAATGCACACACCCTCTGGCACTCCTACTTCACTTTGAGAAACAATAATTAAGTGCCTATTATATTATGAGAACTTTAAGAAAAAGATATGCAAATGGTACTGAAGCCATGATGATTGGTAGGATGTGGCCCAGCTAGGTGAGGAAGGTGCCGGAAGGTCGATGGSGGCCTATTATTTGTAGGCAGGTTTGAAAGCCATTGGGTAATTCCCAATTCCCAGTTGCAATATTCTCTATTAAAACCTTAGCTCAAGAATATGTAAAGAGATAGTAAAATAGAATCCGGGTGCTTATTTGGAAGACCCCAATCATTTGCTTCTGAGACTCTACCCGTTCTGTGCACTCACAGGAGATGGCCATCTCCCATTGAAAATGGATTCTTGTTTATTCTGGTTCTCGTGGAGAGATATTTGAAAGAAAAATTTCCCTCTTACAGGGTTCTATTTCTCCACTTATGCATTCATTCCTTCAACAAATTTTATTAAATGCTTTCTGTTTATCAGATCCAGTGATGGGTTCTGGGTATATGATAATGAACAAAGTAGTTCTGTCCATGCGTTTATGGGGTTTATCACCTAGTAGGCGAGAAAGAAAGAGGTTGTTAACAAACAAGCATGTAAGTAAATACATCAGGTCAAACTGTGATGAGGCTCTGAGAGAARGAATAATGGGGGGACTGGCTTCAGAGGAGGAGTCGAGGAAGGTGTGTCTGAGGTAGTGACTGTTTTTGTTTGTTTGCTTTTTTGATACTGGGAATCGAATCCAGGAACTACATTCCCAGCCCTATTTATTTATTTATTTTAAAATTTGAGAMAGGATCTTGTTGCTGAGGCTGSTCTTGAACTTGCAATCCTCAAAGTCAGTGGGACTGCGGACGTTCACCACCATGCCTAGCTGCAGCCTGGAGAAGGAGCYGAAGTCAGCCAGGTGAAGGGGTGATAGATATGGCAGGAAGAGTGAGACCCAGGTGGCGAGGTCTTCAGATGACAAGGAGTCGCCCATTTAAGAAAGTGAAAACAAGCTGGTGTGGTTGGCATAGAGGCAAAAGGGGGAGAGTGAAGCCAGCCGAGGATGGAGACCTCTGACACTATGGAGGTGGCAGTCGGAGACTATGGAGGTTGAAGKGACAGCTTTCTGCTGTGTTCTTCAGCTCCTTCACCAGGCCCTCGAGAGGCTCCTAAAAGGTATTAGAAATTAGGCACATCTTCCATGTCTAGTCCCCCTTTTTATTTTCCTGTTGTTTTAGGATTTTCCTCTACTTCTGCTTGTTTGTGCTTCCCAGTATATTTTATTATTAGACTGCTTGTTTATTATACCTACTTATAAGGCCACTTTTAATTTATTGCCTATGTTTAAGGACACTCTATTGAAGTGATGCTAGTTATATAAATTAACTATTACAATGTGGAATCTTTATCTCTTCCTATTGTTCGAGTGTACTTGGTACCCTTTGTGTTGTTTCATAGTTTTAAAATATTTATCAATGAATTTACACCTAGGCCTCTCTGCTGCTGAAATACGGGGTCTTCTATTTCCTGAAGGAGCTAGAGCCATTCTCTCACTGAGTGCATGTGGCAGCATGTTAGAGTGGAAAGCACAGGTCTGGGATTTCAGGGGCCTGGGATCAGGCCTGATGTTCACCAGCTACTGGCCAGCAGGTCCCTGGGCAAGTCTCTTCTGTTTCTCTGAGCCTCCGTTCCTTTATTTGTAAGATGGAAAGAATAAACCCTGGAGGGTTGTTTTGATGACTCAGAGTATTTAAGATGTTTGGCCCTTAATGTACAGTGGATTTCTTCTTCCTGGCATTGAAAGGGGGCCCAGTCAGAAGTACAGTGTCTAACCTGTCCTTTTTACCCAGAACCAGGATCAATTTCTCCTTCCCCATTACCTCCTCTCAGAGACTCTGAAGCTMCAAGCACATGACATTTCCTTTCAGCCAAGCCTCCACAGGTAGCAGCAGATGCCTTCCCAGTGTCCACTAGGGCTGTTTGTGCCTGGCTCAGGCAGCCRTCTTGGGCAGCCTGCCTGTATGAGAGAATAGAAGGTTGTACTCCTTGCCTGGACTCTTGAGGCTCAGCTCTGGAATCAAAGCCTGGGAATCTGTCTTAGGCGGATCACTCACTGCAGCTCATAGATTCTGGTACAATCTTCCCAGTGTCTGAGGCTGAGAGYGAGGCTGACATTCAAGCACAGTACCTTTGTGAACTGCTCTGGCCCTGGCTGGCCCAAAGGGTTTCCTTCCCCCCTGGAGCTAGGCAGGCAGGTCAGAATGGTGATCTGACGCTGTCTCAGAGCCTGCTGGCTGACCAGGGTCCCCAGCCTGGAAGGTGAGGTTGTCTGTTAGTAGCAGTAGTTGGTAGTTAACTATTTTTCTGCAGCTCCATTCCTGGGAAGGGCTGGCTACTCACCCAGTGGGATTGTTTGCTAGGAAACTCTTCTTCCTGGGCTAAGAAAAATTCCTGCTTTCCTTAAGCTCTGACATTGCCAGAGGTTTACCATGGGTAGTGCCAGAATGTTTGGCAAGGTGGAGGGGCAGTCAGGTTGCCTGAGGGCATGGGTAGACTCTGGGACTTGCTCTCAGTTCTGGTCTGAGGATGGGACTGCAAACTGGTGCAACCATTATGGAAAGCAGTATGGAGATTCCTCAGAAAACTTGGAGTCCTTTTGAAGATGGAGTTGACAGCACTACTAAAGCAGTGAGTGGCTCTGCAAAGGGCGTGTCAAGAACGATGTTAAGTCAGGCTTGAGCACTGGGGGATAATTGTGCTCTAGACTGAGATGGGAGAACCTGGGGAGGAAGAGACTTTGTAGAAAAGGTTAAGATTAAGGTCCAGGAGTTGTCTTTGCGGGCTCTGCATGGCTCACCTCTGTAGTGAATGAAACTGGATCACTCCAGATCCCCTGTGAGCCTGCTTTGTTTATTATAACACATGCGTTATATTATGTCCTTTGTATGGGTTGATGGCTTGGGCTCCTCTTGTGTCTGGCTGACCTCTTTCTCTCTCTTTTTCTTTTTGGTACTGGGTATTGCAAGGGACACTTAACCACAGAGCCACATCCCTAGCCCTTTTTTTGTATTTTATTTAGAGACAAGGTCTCACTGAGTTGCTTAGCACCTTGCTGTTGCTGAGGCTGGCTTTGAACTCACGATCCTCCTGCCTCAGCCTCCAGGGCTGCTGGGATTACAGGCTTATGCCACCATGCCTGGCTGGCCGACCTTCTTCTAAATCCCCACTTCAGGTTGTACAAAGCAGAGTTAGTACAGCAAGATGGAGTCTGCTATTCTTAGAAAGGTCTGCTGGCAAGACTGGCCCTTGGCTGGCTTCTGGGAAATTGGATTTTGGGAGTGTTGCTACCTTCCTAGTTGATAACAGTGGCTCATTGTGCCCAGACTGTTTGTGCAAGCAATGTGGCTTAGGCTGAATACCTGCTTTCCTTTCCGGGAGTGTGACTTTGGTATGTGCTGGGCAGAGGGTGCCTACATGACCAGCCTGCAGTAAAACTGTGCGCACTGAATCTCGAATGAGTTTTCCTGGGAGATGACACTTCACATACATTGTCACAATTGTCTACTAGAGGAATCAAGTGCATCCTGTGTGATTCCCCTGAAAGGACTCTTAGAAACCTGTCTGGCTTCCTTGTGACTTGTCCCATGTACCTTTTCTCTTTGGTGATTTTGCTTTGTATTCTTTTGCTCTAATAAATCACAGCCATGAGTATGACTATATGCTGAGTCCTCTGAGGAATCACTGAGGCTGTGAGTGGTCTTGAGGGCTCCTGSCATGCTGGTTTATAACTTTTCCAAAGCCCTAAAACTGTCGGCCTCTGGATCTTCTCTTTTGGCAGTATTAGAGTGGGTCTCAGTGTTGGTTGATTATTTTTTGAGTGATCCTTACTGAAGGGTAGGGGGAAATTATGTGGTTCAAAAGACATAAGACCTGGTGCCTACCATCAATGGGACCTCATTCTGCTAYTACTGACCTCAGATTGCAAGAAAAGGGGAGTAGGTTTGATAGTTCAGAGGGCCTTTCTTGGCTTAAGATGTTCTGAAATTTCACTTTTATGACAAAAATTGGCATCCTTCTGGAAGAAAGTAGAGGTGAAGTCAGAGTGGGARTTGGGGTGAGGCGGCAGTAAGCTTGCATTTTCTGGACTTCAGMTTACTACTTTTTTGTGTGATCCCTTGGGGTCTTGGGAGAGGTACAGATGCAGGGATTGGGTGGCCATCCCAGTTTTGGGCTGCCATTCTTATTTCTCATCCTGATTCCTCATAAGATCATTAAGAGGTGATGGGGAACCAATGCTTTATGAGGAACTGAGCTTACCTAGCCYGACAAAGTGAAAGGCAGAGGATCTTATCCAAGAGATGAAGGAGGCATGTTTTTGAAAGGTCCTGGTAATAGAAAAAGAACCAGTGGATAGAATTTCGAAAGAACTGGATTCCAGGTGAGTATAAAGGACGATAAAGACTGCCTTGCTGGAGTGTAAGAATGACGTAGTCTGCTAGTGGCGGTGACACATGCTGTCATTCCAGTGACTTGGGAAGCTGAGGCAGGAGGATTGAAAGTTCAGAGTCAGCCTCAGCGGGCGGGGCTGGGGATGTGGCTCAAGCGGTAGCGCGCTC